CAAACAAGTAATGGCCAAAATGCACAAGGTGGAGTTCTGATAGGTGAGCTATGAATCTGATACATTGATGTGGAGGAAAAAAGGCCTGGTTTACTGTGAGCCTTGGAATTTCAAAGGAACAGACGATACTGGCCCAGTTTACATCCTTGCTAGAGCTGTAAGTTACTCCTTTTCATAGGGATAATATTTTCTGGGTGTATTTTTTGTTTTGTTATTCTGCTATAGAAAAAGGAATGTGGACGTCAAGCGTGGGCATTTTAGTAAGGAAATAACCTACTTGGGGGCTTACACTGGTGGAAGTGTTTCCAGCGTAAGATCATGCTCTTTCTTTGATGTAAGTGGTATATTAGCACAAAAGCTGTGTCTGTACTGGAGCACGTGCCAGCAATCCTGCCAAGAATTTATATTGGGATATTTTTCACTGGAGAAATTGTATAACAAATAGCTAGCCAGATTTTGTCTGCAAATATTCACTGATAGTGGGTCTGAATAAGGGTTATATAGGATTTTAGTGTTGCTCAGAAAGCATTTCCAGATTTTCCTGTGGTGAACATCTTCCAAATGCTACATAAGGCAGAACTCTCTTACTGAATCTCTATAACCATGCTGCTCAGAGAAAAACCTGTTACAAATCAATCTTAAATGGTGCACAAACTGTAAAGTTAAATAGGCAAATTTAATGCTTTAAAACACTATCAAGACTGTTGTTGATAATAGCTGCATCTGATCATTTCAGCTTGAACATACTGGTTTTCTAAGAACATCTCGGCATTAGGGATTGCTTCTGTCTCTTTTTTTTTAGTTACTTTCTTAAAATGTTCATTTTGGTTTTTAGCATTCGGGAAGGAGTTACTGTAGTGTAAATAAATTAAGTCTGTACTGAAAACTGCCCCATAGTGCACACAAATTCAAAAGAGCTTCAGATATATCCGAAGCCAGCAAAGTTAACTGACCCACAGTAACTAGGTTGGTTCTGTTGTTCTAGACAGTTTTTAAGCTCACTCATTTTATTTCTAGGCTACATGGCAGTCATCAGTGGAACAATTTCCAGAAACACATTAATTATGAACCTACAGATGAAAGGAATTAAGACTGCAGCTTTGATTTTTGTAGTCCTGAAGTACAGTCCTCTGCCACTTGAAGTAGAGGAAAGGTTTATTAGTTTACACTTTCCTTATGGATTGATCTCTTAGGAGTAATTTCACTTTTTATAATCAGAAAGTCATTGCATTCCTCCATGGCCTCTTTTTGCCTCAGCCCTAAAGAATGACTACCAGACCAAAGAATCCCAGTAGTATTGCTGTTCCATTCTTGCTGGTGTGAATAAAGAAGGTATATGGTCTCACATGTGGAATAAAAAATGGTTTTGAGCAACATGATTGTAAAGAGTTTCTCTTTCTTATTTGCTTGGCGTCTTATTCTCATGTTTTTCCAGACATCCAACAGTACAAACAACATTTTAATTATTCAAGAAGCTCAGTGAATGCTGAGACTCAAGCAAATCTGGGTCTGGAAGCCTAAAACTTCTTTGAATATTAAGAACTGAATGCATTCAGTGATTAGCACTTCATAAAACTTCCTAGTGTTATAGCACAATCAGTTATGTCCAATTTATTCCTTCATAGTCAGTGAGGATCAGCACATTGGCTCAGAAATTAAATACATAGAGCTGAGCAAAACTCATTCTCAAATAGCAAAACCCCTGTATTCCTGCTGAAGGAAGAAGGGGAATAATCTGAAATGCACTCAGTGAAGGATAAGTTAGCTGAATGTAAATATATACTTTGTGCTGCTTGATACAGCAACAGTCCCAGATGACAAATCTGATTTAAAATATTAACGGATAGTTAGAAGCTTTGTCAAGTTGGACTCTGAATGACAGATGCTGACCTATATATTTTCTGAAAGATCTCTAAATCTTGCTCCCAGTTAGTAGATACTGGTGATGCCTTAATGGCTTTGTGATTCTAGCAGTTATTCATGCTCCAGTTTCTTCATCTGTGTTCATGCCAGCAGTGTAGCACTAGTATTCTCTGAAGGGGGGTTTGAACAACAACATTTGTATAAATGTAGGTGTATTTGAAGCAGCACTCTATAACAAGACCTTAAACAGGAGGAAATCTGTACTCTTCATCTAGTTTTTTAGTTTCTCAACAGATACAAACAGAGTAAACCCCAAATTTAAATTATGTTTTCATGGATTATGGTATTTTGTCTATAAATATATTAAAGTAATAAGGAAAAGGATTTAGTTTTGAGCAGTTGCTCAACAGTTATGCAATTGTTCCAGTTGGTCTTTTTATAGAGATAATTACAGAGAAATTCTAAATGAAATGAAAATTCTCCCTAAATATCTTTTTTTGTTTGTTTGTTTTTTTTTTACTTTGGGTTTTTTGATCACATTTTCAGGGTATGTTAAAAAAGCTTGAATTTTAAAGCACATTGCCAACATTTCAGGGATGTGTTGGCTTGGATCTGAAAGGCTAGAAAGGGGAATGAGCAGATATTTGCTCATTTTGATCCATTTTCTGAAAGCAGATTTACCCAGAAAATAAAATATGAGTTAAAAAAAAAAATAATTACCAAGATGTGCAGAATATCATGTAGAACAGTTCTACTCCCCCATGGCTTTTTAATTTAAGCCATTTCTGGTTAAACTATGGAAAACTGCTGAGTTTTGTTAAGGAAAGCAAATTATATGGGCAGTTGTTGAAGGTGAAGCAAATAAAAAGTAATACTGTTTAAAAGTAGCTTTTATAATGCCAAAACTCAAAAATCAGCCTTTGTGAAATTACTATTGGCTGAATAAGACTTTCTTATTTTTTCACTTAAGAGATAATGGTATATTTTCATTATTATCTGAGTTCTTGACTAGCATGTGGAACCAGAATAAAAGAAAAAAAACTTAGCACACATTCTATGTTTTGGTCTCCAAAGAAGAAAATATTCCTGGACGATGTTTAGTTGCTACATACCTGTAACGCATTTTGACCAACATGAACTAATAGTCACGCTATAAATTGTTAATTTCTTTTGCCTGCTGATATGGCACTTCATTTTTTCAGACTATCTGTAAAACATGTAATGTGGATCATATTTGTCAGGGCTGAATGTAGGATTATTTATTTATTGCTGCTGGAAACAAAGATGTATTTCTTTTGCTGCTGACATTCTGAATTGTAGCCATAGGGCAATCTGTTCCCAATTTGAAAGTGTTACTAGTTAAAAACGTATGTTTAAAGCTGCCTTAAAAAAAGTAGACTGCTTCCACTTTAGCAGTTGGTATAGAAACCATCTCAATCTATAAACATAAGTCTTTGAGATGTATGTAGACTCATTTACTATACTTCTTTATTTTTAAATAAGATTGCAGGATACAAATTTTATCTTTGCATATTTTTATCATTGGCCTGGTTAATGGAAATTATTGAGTACCCTGTGGAAATAGAAAAACCGCATGTTTTAATCTTGTTGTAAATTACCTGCTTTGACTTAAAAGCAGAATAAAATTGTTGGGATTACCTTAAGTAAACTTCTTTCAGCTTTTTGTAGTATGTATTTTCACATAACAAAATAATTGAATTATTTAATTATGATTTAATACATATCAGTGCATGGCACTTACAGTCCATCCTTGTTTCTGGTCAAGAGGTGAGAACAGTAAAGGTGAATAATTACATATTACAAAATATATAATGCCTAATGTAAAAGAGAAGATGTATGCATTTATATTTAATTCTAATACATGCAGCAAATTGTAATCATTAATAGCATAAATGCCAACTTAATGTTTGTAGTTGGACATATTCTGACGGGGCCTGTGGATAGGAAGACACTCAGGCTGACTTTATGTACTCCTTTCTAAAGCAAAGCAAGCCTGTTTTCAATATGCTTAAATTTGCCGTGCAGCTTTGGAATTTTTTGAGGATGCAGGAAAGAAATTGAAATCAGTGCAATCGTGTGAAGAGTCTGGGCAATTTGATCATTTCAGAGGGTTTGCAGGATTTGCAAAAAGAATCAGATGAAGGTAGAGGTGGGAAATTGCAGTCAGATATTATGATAAAATTCAGGAAGAAATAGCTTTTTACAAGGCTAAAGGGAAGTAATGAGTGAAAATAACAAAGGGGTATAGGGACCTTTGGCATCTTTTCAAAAGCAGAGAAAGACAGGGGTCTTGTGTCATTGTTTTTTTCATGGCTGCATTAAATACCATTTTGGTTCTGACTTGCTGCCTGGTTGCATGGCCAGCAGACATTTGCAAACAATTTTGGCAAATTCTACTGACATTTGTGTCCCATATCTGAGGAATTCTGCTAGATGTTAGTTTCAATGCACAAGCTGTAAAGCATTATACTTTGGAGAATCCTGTATTCATGTTTCTGCAATATTTTTCTCCAAAATAAGGAACAGCATGTATAATTTACCAAGTGCCTCATTAGATATTATATTACTCTTTTCTGTGCTCATTCAGACATGGAAGTGAGCCTTGGTTTCTTTTGAATTACAGTCAACTCTTTCATTTTCCTGCTGAGCTTTTGACTACTTATTTTTTGGTTAAAGAAAAAGCTGGCATGAAGTTAGCTTTAGGGATGTGGCTGTATTTCACATGACTGCAATAAGCCGGTTTTAGATCTCTCCATTAACAAGAAAATTTATTCAGGAAGTGTAAATAATGAGCTTGCTAATAATATAATGGGAAGCTGATTCTCAGGTTGATGTACCCACTTCTATCACAAGTTTGAATATAATTTTAAAAATCCTGTTTAATTAGGAAAGATGACATGCTAATTATAAAATCCTGCCATCAGATCAGCTGGAGAAAACTCAGACGTAATGGAAATGAAGGCTTGACCTTTCTCAGGTGCAGGCTTTTATTTCATTATGTGGCTCTGCCAGCCCTCCTTTTTGAGAGGATAAATTCAGGCGGGTCCTCTCTAAAGGCTCAGAAGTGTGGTCGTTCTTTGCTAATGCTATGTTACATCTTTAACTTCTAAGGGGTTGTTTAGCTTGACTTACTCCAGATTATTTAGCAGCTTGGAGTAGCGAGCACTAAGCATTTTTATTATAGGACTTTCCAGTTTTAATCTGTTTTAAGGACAAAGTTACTTTTGGTGTTAAAAACCTTTGTAAAGAAATCCCAGAAACATCTTTTTATGTAATATTCTTTAAAAGCAGGTGTTTCATTTCCAGTAGAGCAATGCATGTATGTGCCCCTAAATATTGTGCTGATTAATTTGTTGACCACCGAGATATGTATTTTGTTTTCAGTGGATGCTCAAATGAGTTTGTAAACAGGAGAACTATGTTCCATGTTCTCTTAGCAGAAGCATATATAGTTCTTATAACGCTTAAAGAAGAAAACAGGTATGTTATATTAAGTCTTTTATGTGATATGCACTAAAAGTTTCCATTTGCAATGCTTTCAGTTATGTTTGATAGTCCCAGCTAAAGAACAGGGTAAAATAATTCTAAGGAATGTTTTGGTAGAACTATGAAAATATCAGTTTCTTTTTGGTTAATTGGAACATTGGAGTTGAGCACTTTTTCTGAGTCTAGGTGGGTTTTAGTCCTTTTAATGCAAACAAATAATACAGAATTTATTCTTCTTTACAATTAATTTGCATATTTTCACTTTTAAAAGTGCTTTTTTCCTGATGTACATAATTTCACATATTTATGCCAAAACATGTGTTATTATAGAAAAAAAACTGTTCCGTAATTTTGAGATGTGAAATGAATAAATATTCCTGATCACTGTTTCAGACGTGTATGATGTTAGCTCCATATGCATTATCTAGTAGTATCCTTAAGTAAGAACTGAGCTTTAAAAATACATAAGATCCTCCCGTATTGCACTTCAAAAAACTCCTAAACTTTCAGTTCTTTGCCTAAGTACAGTTCTCTGCTGCTTTGTACTTGAGTGACAGCATGCCGTATGAGTTGCTACCACTGCTAAGTATGGGTTTGTGAGTTCTGTTCTTCTGATCACATATGATAACTCTTTGATGTCACAGGAACCTCAGTGTTTCTAGAAAATATATGTTACATAACAACTTAGAAGTTTCATCAAAAATACCAGTTTTCAAACCAGAGTGACTGCTGATTTAATTAGAAATAGAGACTTCCTTTCACCTGGGGCTATGTATCACTTGCATCAGAATGCACTTATTAGCTCAGTAATCTGTTCAGCATCCAACTCTGTGGAGGGGCATTTTGCTTTGTTTTGTTTTTTTTTTTTCCTTTAAGAACATGAGTGTTCCTTTCATTTAAAGTCCCTTACTATGGAAGTTTTCTGGTTGGTATCACAGTTAGTACCAAGAAAAGGGTTAGTAAATTTTGGCTGAAATATGAAACACTCAGCTACTCTCAGATATCATTGTTTTGGACTGCATGATGTAAGTTTTATCTTAACTTTGTTTTTTAACTTTTGGATTAAGATTGCGGTTTTTGTGTGTGTATGAAAGGGGTTTAAAGCTCTGATTCATTACTGTGCTTGTTGGTGCTTATGAAAGCTCAGCTCTAGGTATCTCAGTAATCTGTTGCAGTCTTCTAGCTGGTATATGGTTTCTCTAGAACACCACAGCTCTAATGCATTTCATATTTCCCTTTTGAAGATCTGCATCTCAATGCCAATGTCACTGTAGCATGTGCTGAATATTCTTGTCTGTGCACAACTTTTGCTGAAGCCTTGGACATCTGACTGGGATATTGTATGCAACTGGTCTGACTGGTTCTGATGTTATTTCATAAAACCTTAGTCTTTACCTACCCTTAGCCTTCTGAGGAAAATACCTGAAAGTCTCAGGTACTTTAGAACAGAAAAGCTGTCAGTCATTATTCACTGGTTGGTTTGGGGTAGGGTGTTTTTCTGGTAACAGGTTAATTACCTCAGAAAGTAATAGTTAATTACATGAAAGGCAAAACAGTGTGGTAAAGAGAATATAAACCTGAGGAGGAAGAGTCAGTATACGGACTCTAAAATCCTTCTTTTTAGACAGTAGGCTTACATTTAAATTTCATAGTTATGTGTGACTTCTGAAAAGTCAGATGGCTTCATTTATCTACTACTGTGTTTTTAGGGCTTTATATTGTCCTTTTACTTGGTGGCAATTTTTCCTTCTAACCTCAGTGGGGCCACATGCAGCCTATGGAGATGCTAGATATTGTATTTGATCCCAAAGAAAACCGGCTGCAAATATGTACTTTGTCAGTTGGGATGTTTTTTTGTATAGGGTTTTCCTATTTATTATTCCATTTTTATCTGGCAAAACTGCACAAATGATGTTTTTAGCAACAAGGCCATGCATCTGAAATTAAATAGATGAACAAAGAAGGTATAGCAATGAGACTTTGTGGAGACTGAAGTTCTAACTGGGGACAGTCACATAATTCACCTGAAAAGGATCTGCCAGTGAAGTTTTTTCATATTGCAACCTAAATAATGCTGGCACTACTTGGGTTTATATGCTTTTCTGCATCTTCATTATGACATAATGGTGGCTTTTACAGATGATGATATTTCAAGCAGAAATGATGATTATTGATGCTTTAATTAAGGTGCTTGAATAGTAAACAATCTTCTCACAAAAACTTAGTAATGTTTTCACACAGTATTAAACTTAATAAGCATTATTTAAATAAAACAATTAGTTCCACAATTCAGAATCAAAATTTAGCTGTTTGGCAAAAATCATCATCATTCTCAGCAACAAAAGTGTAGCCGTATTCCGGTTTTGTCATTTTTACTACTTATTGTCATGCATAGATTTATAGCCTGTATGTGAACAAATCTCTGCTGAAGAGCAAAGGTCATCGTTTCACTGCCCAATGAACACATAAAGTACAGTTTCATATACTTTTAGGTAAATCTAATATAAGTGAGGTCAGTTAAATTCAGATTAATCCAATTCAGTAAGTCCCCATCTCCCTGACTGTGCTAGTAACAACTGTATTATGTAGGGGTTTCTGTGGAAGGAATCAGTGGGCTAAAAATGCCCCTCTGCCCTCCTGTTCTTTCTACAGGGTCAATTTTAAGTTAAATAGTGTCACTAATTATGTTTACAACTTAACTCCATATACATACTTTAGGATTCACAAAATACCATTTTCTTATTCTTCCTTTTCCCCATTTTCATTAGTTTCTTCAAAAATAAATCACAGAGTATATTGAACACAAGCCAGATTGTTCAGATTCTTTATCCAGGTAACCTTACAAAATATGCTAAGTGGGAGTATATCTACATGGACACTAAAACCCCATAGCCTGGCTGTATGTAAACAGCATAAGCACATTGTTCACAGTCCAAAGAGTTATTCTGGCATTTGAAGACTATCTGAATTGGTAGTGATAAATATGGTGGAGTAATAACAGTCCCGCTAATGTTCCCCTTTTCAAGCCAGAAAGCTGCTTTTTGACATTTATGACTCCTGCAGGGTTTACCTAACTACCTTAGTGTGCTGTGTGTTCTACACAGTTCAGAGCCTACTACACAAGGCAAGGTTTTCCTTACATGGAATAGCCTCGCTGAAGGTGTAGACTGGGATCAACAGAAAGCTTGAATCTTAAGTCAGGGAAGAAAAGGGGAAGATTCTTGACTGAGCAAGATAATTTCATTCAGGTTCTGTAGAGCACTAGTAAGAGCACAGCAATTGCTGTTCGGCTCCTTTCTTATGCATGTGATATTGTCTCCACCTTCTCTGGGCTTTTTACCCTACTCTTGGTTGCCTGAATTTTTTCCTCAGGCTTGCAGCAGTTGACTTATCTTCTTGCAGTCTGCAGTGAGTTAAAACTGCAACTAGTAACTACATATAGTGTTTAAAAATAGCAATAGTGGTAATATAATTTATTGTTTACATATCATTGAAAATTACAGCTGATAGAATATCAACCCCAGTATCTGTATTCTGAGATGACTGGTAGAGTTTGTGTGTTACATAAAATCTGGAACCTGTTTGCAAGGTACTGTGTTCAGTAACTGACTTGACTAGAGCAGGGTTTTCCAGAGAGGTACATTTGAAAATATTAAGAAACAGTATATCCATTGCTTGAGGGTGCTTGTTCTTCTGTTTAATAACATTCACTGATGGGTTTTCAGTGTTCTGTTGTATGCTTTTTGAATCAGTTAATTTCCATCTTTTGTCTGGCTTTAACTTTGAACCAATCTTTCACTGCTAAAATTAAAGTGCTTCAGTTCCTGGTATATTATTTCTTTCAACAAGTACGAATAAATTGTAGCTCTATCACTTAAGTCTTATGTTCGTGAAGTTAAATGACTTGAGGAGATCATCTCATGATGTTCCTCTAAATCCTATAACACTTCTATGTATCATCTCTGATTATTTTTTTAACATCCTAAAATTGTAGGCATCAAAATTAGCTGCAGTATTTAAGTACCACTTCACCCATGGTACATCTGGAGGTAAAATTACTTCCCTATTTCTGTCACTACGTTCTTACATATTTACCTGAGGATCAAGTTATATCTTTTACCATAGCATTATATCCTGGGGCTCATATTAGGTTACTGTCCCATCTCAAGACTTTTTCAGAGTATCTGATTTCCCTGATATGTGCCCCCATTCTGGAAGTATGCCCTCCAGTCTGTTCCTGGATGTGTAAAATGGATTTGACCATTTTAATAATGCACTACTTTGAGTGGGTCAAACATGAAATGATCCAAATTGTGCCGTACAACTGCCCCATTGTCATCATTATTTACATCTTTCTGTAATCTCTCCATTTTATTTGCCATGATCTTGTATTTAACACCAGCAGAGATTTTTAATGAGGGACAGAAAGAAATTGTGGTAATTGAATGTAAAAAATTAATCACCTGCCAATGGATGTGAAAAATGAAGATATATAAAAAACTTGGTTTAAAGGAAGCAATGAAAAAAGATGATTGATAAGATGATAATAATAATACCCAAAATGAATGAGATGTGTTCAGGAATGGCTTGCAATGGGAAAATGAGGATTTTTAGTCTGTTGCAAAGCAGTCAAGGTATAAATATGGGATGTTGGAACTGAATAGGAGAGGGTTAAGGGACTATGTGTATTATGTAATTAAGAGAGAAAAAATATAAGAAATACAAATAATACTAGAAATTAGACAACCTTTGTCCTGTTTCTTTTAAAGATCAATTTCAATGTCCCCTTAGTTAATATGTATGTTTTGAATAATTTTTAAATACTCTGGAAAAACCCCAAATGTTCTTCAGGGATCATAGTTTGGGGATTTTTAGGTGGGTTTTTCAGTTGTACTATTTCCATGACATTGTGTAAATAATGTAAGATTTCTTCCCCCCACTCTATTCCTGGAAGAAGCCTGTTGGCGATGGCAGCCTCAGCAGTGCTGGCACTC